TGACTTCTTGTCTTTTTCCTGCCATTGAAAAAGTTTTACAAATACAAGCTGTCTGCTGGGATCTCCCTAGAGAATCAATGAACTGGCGCATTAGCCATCACAGGTTTCTCCCTGCTGACTGGCCCAGCTGGACTCATTAAATCTGTTTTGCTCTGTCATCGTCGGCTCTGGTCTCGGAGCATTCGCTCTCCCCGGGGAGGAAGAAATCATTTGTTTAAAAGCTGATTTCACTCCAGGGCGCAGACTGCTGTCAGTCACTGACGTCTGTTTGAATTCATCTCAATACATTCATGAAATGATAAAGGACCATTCTGTCTCATGTTCTATTGTTCTTAGTGATGCATTGGGTACACTACTGTCATTTTTATTAATATGAACTACAATATATGACTTGTGGAGTTCCTCAAGGTTCCGTTCTCAGTCCACGTAAATTCATCTCACAAACTTTATATCATTGTTAGTTTTCAATCTTTTCTTGTTGATTATTTCAATAACTAATTTGATAATCAAATTAGTTCATTACCAAATCAACTAATTGTGCATATAAATGCATAATGTGTATAAGATATATATATATATATATATATGTATCTTCTTCTTCTTTCTTTGACATCTTGCTAACTGAGCTCAGAAACTTGGTGACCAAAACTGCCTTTTATTTGTTCAAAACATCTACTTCTAATTTGTTTTGATGACCTGAAATATATATAAAAAATAGAGCAGACATGTCCAAGGAGTTTGTAATAGCTAATGTTCTTGATGTTGATGGTTCTGTGATTCAGAACCAGTCTTTGTTTGGAAGAAGTGACCTTTACCTTCCACCACTTTACATGTTTATTGAAATAGGCATCCTAAATAACCTTTAAAAATATCTGACTATTGTTGCATTTCCAGAGTGAAGGTGTTTTTTTTTCTGATGAAACATTAGCAAAACATGGAATCCAGAGTGTAAGAGAGCTTATGAGATTCCTTTGATCCCAGGTTCTTTATGTTCCCTGACCAGTTGTCCTCCATGGTTTTACATTCCTGTGCTGCTTAACACATCCACTGATCAAACCAGAGAACAGAGTATCTATTCAGGGTCCACCTACCGGGGGAAACCAGAGTGGTTTCTTTAGTGCTTTTACTAGAAACCTGAAGCTCTGTTGGACACAGTAACAGAGAGAAAGAATGGAGCTGAAAGGACTGCAGAAAACATGAGTCTGAGGTAACACTAGGTGGCGCTCACTTTAGAGAAAGCAGTTCTTAAAGGTTCTGGATTATTTTCTTTTAATCTTGACTACAATATGTAAAAACTTCTATCCTCCAAACTGATTGGCATATGGACCAGATTACGCCCAGAATTCATTTTTGGCACCAAATGGTTTTAATCTGCGAGTTAAACACCAGATTACAACAAATCAGCCAACAGGAAGCTAAGCTCAGAGTTTCTGCCAAGTTTTTCCACCGACTGTGTGACGTTTGTTTTGCAGATGAAGAAGGAGCTGAGCGAAAACGACTCCATCACTCAGGAGGTGGTCGGCAACGCTCACATCGAAAACTACGCCTTAAAGCTGTTCCTGTACGCCGACAACGAGGACAGAGCAGAACGGTTCCACAAGTAAGGAACTGACAGAGAAGACGATTGGTCGGTACGAGACGACGCAGGCTGGGCTGCTCCTCGATGTCAACACTTTGATTATGATGCGTTGGCTGTCAGAGCAGCACAGTTTGCTTCTGTATCAGATGTCTGTTTGTTGTCCAGCTGTTTACGCCACCAACCGCCGCCACATCTGGCTGTGTTTTATCCTCACGGCTTTCAGACACAACACGCTCTCGCGCAGCATGACTTCATGTTTCACGTCTTTTGAACCTTTTGTTTCCTAGCAACAGGCGGTGACTCATGCGAAGACTTTTCACTTCAGACCACATGTTCAGGTCTACATGTAAACAGCCGTGTTGGGTTACTGTAGTTTATACGTGAGCCTCAGTGCAGCAGTCTGGAGACTTTTACTTCCTTTTTCCTTCACAGTTTGTGTTTCTACTCATATTAGGACTTTTT